CCAGGATCATTTTAATCAATTTCCAGGTTAACAGAAATGGAGATTGTAATAAAATAATGATTGGTAATCAATTAAAAGTTCAATCATAAATTTAAAGTCTAAATTTCAGCTTCTCAAATGTGAACATTTATATTTTCTTTACTCTATGACAGTAAACTGAATATTTTGGACAAAACGAGACATTTATGGACCAAACAACAAATCAATTAATTGAGAAAATAATCGACTGATTAATAAATTGGATTATATTTGTATTTAAATTACTTTGATGCTTGTTTGAAGGATTTTACTACAAAATATTTAATGAATTTTGTATAATTTTATTTTTCTCTTTAAATTGAATAGCTTTATTTGAAGCACTGAACTATTTAGATAATCTATTAATCGTTTCGAGTCATTTTTTAAGACACATCTCATCCATCTCAGTTTTTAGCTTCTGGAATGTGAATCATTTGTTTTATTTTGTCCTCTTTGACAATAAACTGAACATTTTAAGACAAAACGAGACATTTGAGGACGTCGGCAACTTTTTCCACCATTTCCTGAAATTTTATGGGTCAAATAATCGATTACTCTGTAAAATGCATATTTGAGGGATTTAATTATTATTTGTATTATTGGACATTAATGACATTTAATCCTGTGAAACATGAAGCCTAACCTGTCCACAGCCTGGACGTGGTTCAGATACTCGTTGCTGTCGGTGTGTGCAGTCTGCAGAAAGGTCGTCACAGATGGAGTTTGCATACATTTGCTTTCATTACAGCGAACTCGTGGCCACGTTTCCCTTCAACATTTGCTTTATTATAAATAAAAGCATTAACATCCAGCGCTGAGGAAAAGCCTCCGGAGGTGCAGGAAACAACAGTTGCATGCTGCACATTATTCAATGTATATGAGGATTGAATGTGTGTGCTGCAGAGACTGTGGAGTGTATTTAGAGGTCAGAGCGCCGAGTTACTGTTCAACCTCACAGCTCTCAGAGGAACCAGCGGAGCGGAAACCACGTCCACAAACAAACCTGTGAGATTATTCTGCCTGTGTACAGTCACCGATTCACACACATCGGGTTCTGCCTAATGGGCAGGCTGCAGGTGGCGGCGATGCCTCATCCTAATGCGCACTATTTTTAGTCAATAAGTGCAATAAACAGACGTTTAGACTAAAGGCTGCACTGCTGTTTATGTGTAATGCAGTCGGTTTACTGTAAATTACACAGTGAGAGCCGACCTGATGGTAGATATAGATATAGATACGTCTGCATGGTCGCCATATTGCAGAGGTCAGTACCTGCAGAGGGATTCAGACTGCACAATGAAATCAACTTCCTTAAAGTCCTTTAAGATCCTCAGTTATATTGTTCACATATTTAACCATTTATGATACAAATATTCACAAAACTCAGTTTCTTTGTGTTTTTATATCAATAATCAATCATTGTGTCTTCCTGTGAAACTAAATGTGACGCGTGTTTACGTCAGCATGAACTGATTTCAACCAATAACATCCTGATACTCACTCGTCAATCAATCTTCAACTGTCAGTGACACAGAGTGAAGATTCATTAGTTAGTTAGCTCACTGATTACTGTACAGACACAACTTTATCTGTTTGTATGAAACTGGATCAGATTTTATGGAGAGATTATTGTTTCTGGTTTTCCCTCCGACGTCCTCCAGCTAACTGCTAATGTAGCTGCCGTTAGCAACTGAACGGGGCTCAGCAGCCTCGCAGTGAACCTCAGAGACAGACAGAGGACAGTTGGACGACAGCGGTACCGAGTGGATTTATGGAGGTTCCAGATGGACTCGCTGCTAAGAGAAGCTAACTGTCGCTAACAGTAATGTTAGATGCCGTTAGCTAGTTAGCTCGTGTGGCTAATGTAAAGAGGAAATTTGATTCGTTATAAATGTATAAACTGAACCTGATGCTAATTACTTTACTGTAAAACCTAAAAACTACTTTAGGAAACTGTTTAAACCATTTATCATGAAAGATATTTAAGTAAAAGTAACTCAAGTATTTATTGATTAATTAAGTTAATTGTACTAATTTAATTGAGTTGATTGAAGTTAGACTCATATGCAGCATTTCTCCAAACTTATTTAAAATGTGTGAACAGAATTGATCTGAGTAAAGTCACTTAAATTAATCTTCTTTATACAAATGTTGTAATTGTAATTGAGCTCATGATGATTAATAAACTGAAATAAAATTATTATTATTATCATAATACTCCTTATATATTTATAATAATATAATGGATTAATTCAAGTTAACATACTTTTATTGAGATGTGTTTATAGTGTTGTAGCTATTAATTCAGCCACTGGAGGTGGATCTAATCAGCTCAATGCCAAATAATTTACCTTTTGAATAACCACAACTTCCACTAAGACATACAACCACTGATCTATAAACAGGAAACATCAAATGTACATTATTTAGAGTTTCAGCTTTTATCAGTTTGTCTAATTATCTATATTTACTATATTGTTATAAACAGACTTTCCTACACATACTGGACATTTAGAGACCTGTATGTGACCAGTCACAAAAACACCTGGAAACTGATTAAAATGATCAAATATCTTGAAAATAATCTCTGTTAATCTGGAGAATTGTAATTTTAGCTCCTCACTCACATCAGTGGTTCCCAACCTGAGGGTCGGGACCCCCACTAGGGGTCACCAAAGCTTCACAAAGGGGTTTTGATTTAAAAGGGTGTTAGAAAACAGTAACAATTAAAACCAGGTCCAATAAAAGAAGAAGGATTATTATTTAAGATTTGAAGGGATGAAACACAAGCTACATCCTCCACAGCTAGCTGTTAGCCACAACACTGGCTAACATTCCCCACGAGTATATTTTAGTTTTAATATAACGTTCGAAGGACATTTTAAGGATGTTGACTATTTGAAATCTTATAAAGTTAAATGTCAACTAAGAGAAAAAATTTGAACTGTAACATTCAGTTGTTCTTAGATTATGTTACAACAACGTTCTCAAAGCAACATTTAATAAAAATGTTCTCAGTATTTTATTTGGACCCCAGATTACATAATGTGTTAATGAAGGTAGAATATCTGAGAACGCTCTGAGGATGTTTCAGAGACGTTATTGAGGCAACAGATTATAGATTGTTCTTTTATAAATGTGAACAAAATGTTACAAAATAACAAAGATAGAATGTTCTAAAAGCAACATTCTGATTAATGACTGAAAGTTGTTACATTATAACAAAGATAGAATGTTCTAAAAGCAACATTCTGATTAATGACTGAAAGTTGTTACATTACAACAAACGTTGAACACTTTCCTGTAACATTCTGAGGATGTTTTAGAGACGTTTCTTTTATAAAATGTTATAATAATGTAATAATTTAATTTATATAATATAATTTCTGTTTCTATTGCTCAATATTACAATTTAAGTGACTTTATACTTCTTTAGTTTATTAGTTATCTGCAAATTAGAGATTATAAAATAAATAAAAGCATAAAAGCTCAAAGAAGAAACTCATCGGATACAATTTGACATCTTTGCATCGTTAAAATCAGATTTATTTATAATTATTAGTAGAGGTTCTATTTCTGTATCCGTATATATGTTGAGAAACGTGACTAATTATTAGTTTTTCAAGCTGCTTTATCATATGGATCACAATCAGGTGATCAATACGTCTGTGTATTGTTCAATAACCTGGTGACGCAATAATCATCACGTTACCGAGGTTATGGTTCAATTTACTGGGATTTATTGAGACATAAAGAACAGTCCGATGTCTGCATGAGTATTTGTATTGATCACAGTCAAACACTGATATCTGGTGGAAATTGATCACCTCTGTCAGAATCGACACAAAATATCACAATATGGTATTTTCTTACATCAATAGTTGCTTCATATGTATTTTTAATGTATCAAATTGTTGTATAAAGTGTAAATATTTTTATCTTTTAATGTATTTTATCGTATTTTTATTCACTTTTCCTTGTGCTGCTGTTTAAATGTTTTTATTTATTTTGTTTTAATTTTATTTAATCTTATTTTAACTTATTTTATCGTATTTTAACTTATTGTATCTTATTTTAACTTATTGTATCTTCTCTTTATGCATTAAAATGTGTCAACCTCATAATATTTTAAAGTAATTTTACCTGCTAGGATACCACACTTATAATATAATATAATATAATATAATATAATACATACTGTAAGGACTGTGGCATTATTATGTGTTTTACCTCCTCTGTTATCTCTAAAGAGTAATTATTTAACTCCACAATGACCAATATTTAATTATTTAATTAATGCGGATGCACAATTGTAACGATTGTTTTCAGCTGATACATTAACAAAAAACAACAAACAAACAAACAAACAACAAACACTTCTGACTCTTCAAATGTTTATTTATTTTTTTATAGTCAACTTTAAGTCTATTCATCGTTTTGCAAAAAAGTTCTAAATAAATTATTATTAACATCAACCGATAATTTATAATCACATACATTTCCATTATCTGCCGATAATTATAGCACATAGTAAATAATCAATTATAAAATTAATTATCTAATTATTGAATGACGACATCAAATATATAAATCTTTTTTTTTGTCGTTTTGGTAACTTTTATTTCATTTTCAGCAGTTTTTCTAATTCATAATAACGATTTTTATGTGTGTGATGTTGACAAATAACATTTATTTAACTATTATTATATTTTTTATATTTTATTATTACTATATTTAGCACTTGGCACTTTAAAAAGAGTTATTTTTATATTTTTTTATACATTTTAAGTAATTTTGTAACTTTTTACTACTTATTACTTTTTAATATTAATTTGTTGACATTAATCTCTTCATTAATTAACTGATTATTGTTTGAGTGACGCTGTATTACTTTGTTATTATTATTATTATTATTATTATTATTATTATGAATTGATTAACGGTGTCCCCACAGAGCCTCCGTACGGTCCATGCCTCCCTACCTTCTGGATCCTGCCGTCCACGTCCAGGTAAATGACCCGGTAGGAGGACGAAGCGGAGCCCATGGTGCCCTCTCCTCTCCCCGGCGTCGGTGCGTGGCTGTGCGGTTCCTGCTGCGGGCTCCGTGTCGCCGCTCCGGTCCGTTAAAACACACCGAGAGTGGAGTCAGCGGTGAGACACCATCCCACCTGCCTGTCTGCCTCTCTGCCTGCCTGCCTGTCTGTCTGCCTGTCTGTCTGTCTGTGGTTAACTGACGGTCTCTCTCCGCTCTGTCGCCTCGCGCTGTCTAACCGCATCTCATAAAGCCTGTCCACGCGCGTCCCCGCCTCCCTCATTCACAGAGCTCCGGGGTCCGCGCGCTCACACACACACACACACACACACACACACACACACACACACACAGCATGCGCAAACACACACACACACACACACACACACACACACACACACACACACACACACACACACACACTCAGGTACAGGTAGACGCAGGAACTACTTTGTGTTTGTTTTTGTGTCAAACACCTGGGGGAGAGCGGTAGTAACGCTTCTGTCTCGACCAATCAGCGACGAGCTGGAGTGACGTCACTCGCCCCCTCCTCATAGGCTGCTCATTAGACACCTAATGACGTCATATTGCCCCCCAGGGTACTCCATGCAGAAAGGCCCATTTAATGATAGAATTATTGGATTATAATTGATTTTAATTGATAATAATTAATGTGTTCATCACTTTAGTGTTGCAGTTGGTAAAAAGTGGAGATTATTTTAATACTGCAGTTTTACTGTATTTCTTACTGTATTTTAGCAGTTTTTCTGTATTTCTTACTGTATTTTAGCAGTTTTACCTGTATTTTTAAGGTTTTTTAAAGATGTTTTTGTTTGTTTTTGGGGGGGTTTCACTCAGCAGAGAACTCAACCTGAATATTTTTAACATTTCCCTTTTTAATGAGGCTTTCTGTCTATGACGAATGGCTTTAATACAGTTAATAAATCACACACCAACTCTATTAGATCATTTATAAGCCATTAAAAGAACTGGTTGGCTGCAAAATCCACTTATTAACAACTTATTAACAACTTATAACTGCAGACTTTATCATTAAAAACACTTTGTTGGAGAGTTTTTAACATTTTTAAGACTCAATGAAGTTGACTGCGGATCAGAAAGAAGTGAAAGAAAAGCTTCGGTGTGGAGGAGTGGAACCGCGGGGAAAGCCTCTAATGTCATTTATCAGGCAGTTTGAAGGCGTTACCGGATGATCCATCCATTCGCGATGAGTCACTGCAATAAACCCGCATTAAACCCTGCAGCTGAGGGGAAGTTGGTCAATTACTGAGGCCTGATAGAGGAGCAGAGGTTGTGAAAGTCTCTTTATATTCAACCGACGAACGAAAGGATTCTTCTTTATTAAAGTTCTTAAAGCAAACAGTTGAGAGCTTGATCTGATAGATGAGTAGATGCGAACACTTGAGATTACTCTGTGGACTGGAAATAAGACTGTATTCTGAGAGTTTGAGACTTTAATGAACGATCCCACAGATGCTCGATCGGATTAAGATCTGGAACTTTGGAGGCCGAGTCAAAACCTTGAACTTGTTGTTTTTCCATTTTCACTTTGTAGTGATGAGACCACTGCTATCAGGAAATACTGTTTCCATTAAGGAGTGCACGTGGTCTACAACAAGGCTTAGGTAGGTGTCAAAGTAACATCCACATGAATGGCCGGACCCAAGGTTTCCCAACAGAACATCGCCCCAAAGCATCACTCTGCCTCGGCCCTTTATCAAAGCCGCTCAGATCCTCACGCTGCCCTTTAATCCTGCTTCTAACACATGGACTCTTGTTGTATATGTAAGTCCCTCCAGGATTGTTTTTGAGATTGTTTTAGGCTCTTATTGTTGCACTAAAATTGTGGGCAGGGAGTAAAAATTGCAAAAATAGTTGCCATTTTTTGGGATAATTCATTAAAGTCTTCCAGTGAGAATAAAAACAGTAGTACTTGTCGAATGCGACCGCTACGATTGGTCAAGTAGTGCAGTTATAACAGGGACGTAGTCTATATATATATAAAGTCCTGGCTAAAATCAGGGATCAATACGCCTCCAACCTTCCCGATCCTTGTGTGTTTGCACGTGTGCGTGATCTTCAGTCTGCCCGTGTCACTGAGTGGGTTTCTGCCTGTCAGTAGTTCACCGTTTGGGATGACACCTGCCACCTCCAGCTGGGACTTAAGGCCACTCCATGCCATGAATCGGACCGATTTAGCCGCCCTGCAGTAGCACGCCATCAAAAACACCACCCAGAAATCACCCAGAATGCTTAGGGAGTTGATTCGCAAAAAAAAACAGAAGCAAAGAAAACATCTGATATGTTTTTATTTTTACAAAATCAACCGCCCAGCAAGAAGACAAACAAAGGCACACAATGTTTTCAAGTACTGACACAAAATAAATACACACAGTGTGCTCTTATTCTGAAGGAAGGCAGGATGTCGTCTCGATGCTACCACCATATAAGGAAATGATCCCAGAGTTTACATTTATATAACATTACCGTTTGTATTGTGTGTGGATTTTACTCTAAAAGTTTACAGCCAAAAAATGAACAGAATTATAAATATGAAACGAATCTGAAAAAGAGAAAATCACAAACTTATTTTGACTCATTTAAACCGTTTCTGGACACTTGAAGAGTTAAAGGAGTTAAATTCACTGATTCTACAGACTGAGATAAGATTCAGTCGCTATCACCACCTACTATAAGAACCACGAACCAAACCCATCAACAGTGCACTGCAAAATATTTCCATATGAGGTTTGTCATCTAACAAGAACTTTACATTCATAATATCTCCGATAGCTCCCGAACACACACACACACACACACACACACACACACACACACACACGACACAGACACACACACACACACACACACACACACACACACACACACACACACACACACACACACACACACACACACACAGAAAAACAAACATTATCTGGAGGTTTTATATAAAAATACAACTTTTGGTGGCTTCATTTCAGAAACCGGCACAAAACTGACAGAATAACTTAAGAGACTTTAAATTACAACGTGATCCCGACAATCTCTTTGGTTCTTTAAGGCGAAACACGAAACAGCAACTTCCACACAGGAGAGTCGTAGCTAACCGTTAGCTCGGCCCCAAGAAACAGCATTTTAAAAGATGGTTAAAAGATAAAAGAGACAAATATTTAGCCACATATAAAGCGAGCTAATGTTCGAATTATATAGATTGTTGTTGCTCTGTAGCAAAACAATAAATAACAGCTGATGTCAATAACTAGCATTTTGCAAACATTAGCTTTCTGATGTTATTATTAATTACTGATGTTGATAACTTAGCTGACTGATTTACAGATATTTCTTTTCCTAAAAGGTTTTATAATAAAGATTATTGATCGCTGTGTTCGGAAAGCTTAAGATGTGACAATAAATGTCTCTTTTATCTTTTAACCGTCTTTAAAATGTGTTAACATAAATAAGCTTAGCACGTAGCGTATCTAGGAACATTTGGCCGAGCTGTTGTTGGTCGTAGTGGTTTTATTGCGAGCTCCTGTCACACGAACAGCGTTACCCAGAATTCAAAGTTCCTCCGTTGGCGGGATCCATCTCGTCCGGGCGGATTAGTTTCATTTCGGTTTTTACTTTAATTCAACAGAAATTTGATCGATGGGACATTTCAAGAATGTCAATAAAAACATTCAGAGACGGTTGCTATGACAACCGTTGTTAAGGTTTCCTGTGATCAATAACTTAAATATTGTCAGTGTTTGTTTATACTCTTGTGTGCGAAAGAGTTCTGCAGATATCGGACCCGTGTTTTACAGATACGCCACTAAACTACATCCACGGTTGGCCGTAGCCTTCATAAGCCCCGCCCCTTTTTGCCCTGTGCTCCAATCACAGTTGAGCAAGCCTCAGCCAGGTCAAAAGGGGGCGGGGCTTATGAGGGTCAATGGACCACTGAGTTTTAGATATAATAAATTAAAAATGGTCCCTTGTTGGGTAAAACAGTTTAGAAATAAACTGTTAATCTTCGTCATGGAAGTTGCTGTTTCAAACATTTCTATCCAACATAAATAAAGTCACTAGTTTATCTTTAAGCTCAAATATACACGTCAAAGTAAGGCTTTATATATATATATATATATATATCCCACAGTCCTGTGAGTGGATTGTAGTGATCGAGCTCAACTTGAGGACGAAACCACGAAGTTGAGTGTTTAAAGATGAATCCTCCAGACTGAAATCTGCTGCAGTAGCTCCACACACACACACACACACACACACGTTGTATGTTAAAATGTGTGTGTAATATGTGGGTTAATTAAGTCCAGTTACAGTCGCAGCCACAGTCCGTGTCAGGCTTATTATGGACGAGTGGTTTCCATTCAGTCAAAGTGCTCAGTGCTCCTTCAACCTGTGAGGTGGAGACAAACATTAACGCCATATTGATACGTTGGGTGTCGTTAAGTTTTACAGCCAGGAGCAATAAAACCGAACTTACTGTCCATAAAAGACAAGTAAATAAAGTATTAAATTACACATATTGTGTCTTAGAGCGACTGAAACTGCTGTTTTTATCATCTACGTTGGTGAATTAAGGATTTATTTCCACCAGACCAGAGTTGGTGATTGTTGGAAACACTAACAGAGACGCTTTTAATGAGTTTTATTTTATTTCTGTCCAGTTTGAAGCGTCTTTTATCTGCTCTGTAAAACAACTGGTTTTGTCTATGGAGTCTGGTGGACCGTAGCTTCCGCTGTTTTGGTCTGAGATGCTGCGACATTTGGTTCATATAACCTTTAAATCACAACATCTGGATCTTTACCTCCACATGTGAAATGAAGCTGATTAGTAACCGACTGTTGCTCGTGTCACTGATGTAACGTTAGTGGTTCGATTCACGCTGAAAAAAGAGCCGTAAGCAGAATTACCTCCGTGTGGTTGTGATGCTGTGAGCTAAAACAAGATCCCATCAGGAGACTAAATGATTTTAAATTGCAGGTCACTGATGGTTTTTCTCAGAACTGAGTCAGTGCCAGACTCAACTCATTAACCTGCAACTGTGTTTCATTAGTTCAGTGACCAAGTGTTACACCATAAATACTAAATATAAACTAAAAATCTAAACTTAAAGAAAAATACAATTTAATTTAGTTTTCTTCACAGAAATGAACAAAAGATAAGATATATATATATATATATGTGCATATTTTAATATTTAAGTGCATATGTTTAATATTTAAGTGCATATTTATAATATTTAAGTATATATTTAGAATATTTTTGCTGTTTTACTTCGCTGTCTGACAACCCTTTCTGATGGAAAATGAAGCTGTTATATTGATCTATTCTCTCTTCAAAGCCACCAAACTCCATTGACAAAAACAGTCATTTTACCTTGCAGCACACAGGAGTTGGCGGTCCACTGCTGTCTCGATTTGCAGCGACTAACGTCAGTTTGGATCCAAACTAATGTGTTAAAACCCTCAAAATTCACTTAATAACACAAACTAACTATATTGAGACAGCAGTGGACCAGCAACCCCTGTGTGCTGTGAGGTAAAATGACTGTTTTTGTCAATGGAGTCTGGTGGCTTTGAAGAGAGCATCGATCGATATAAACTCTCACTGTAAATATAGCGTACACTTGAACTGATATTGATTTATGTGGCTTAAATATGTTTTACAGTTATGAGACACTAACAGCAACAATAATAATGAAGAATTATTAACGTATTTACAGGATAAATTAAATAAAACACAGAACATTGAGCAAAATAAAGGGACTTACTCTACAGCAGAGATGGGACGGGATTTATTTGAGGTCAGCTCCTTTGTCACGAGTCGTAGCAAAAGCTGCACACACATACACAAAGTCAAATATTAGTTCATTCATGTGTTTTCCATTGATTATGTGTATTATTGTATATTAAAAACAAGATTTTAATAGATTTTTTGGCCACTTGGAGGCAGCAGAACAAGCTGAAAACACAACATCTGATATATTATCATTAGTTAGGGTACATCGACATTCATTTGGAGTCAATATTCACTCTCTTTTGGCTCTCTTTTAGCTCTGTTTTGGTCTCCACCACTATGTTTGCCAGATTTAACGACAGCAGTAACTGTAAAACCAAAACAACGAGTTAAAAACGGCTGCAAATCTAATCCGATGTCAGTTTAAAAGCAGCGTTTATAGTGCGTCGAAACTCATTTACAAAACACTACGATCTTTATGTTGTTTCTCACCAGCAGGGCAAAGAAGTCGGCAGTCATCAGCATGTAGAAGACCTGATCCCAGCCACCTGCAGACAACAGTCCAGCCAGCAGGGGGCCCAGTGCTGCTCCTGACACCACGAAAATACATAAACGTTTTTAATGGGATTTGTTGGGACACCATTAAAGGTCATATGGCGTTTAAAATCCTGCTTCCTGTGTTCTTTATTAGAAGTTAATGTCAGCACAGATACTGACCTACAGATCCCGTGCCGTCGATGATGGCAGTGACAGTGGACAGCGCTCTGGCGTTGCCTTTCAGGCTCTTGTGGGTCCCCTGGGGTCAGAGGTCAGAGGAGAGAGTGATGAGAGAGAGGAGGGACTGTGTGACGGCAGTTAATGATTGAGTTTATCGGACTGAAATCTTACCAGATCCGCAGACACTGCGGTGGTGATGAGGGAGTACGGTCCGTTGACGAGGCCTCCGCACACCAACAGCATACCTGTTAAACACAGACGCAGGACTCTTACATCCACCGCTCTCGCCCGTCTGACCCCCCCCAGCTCTGATAAAGTTCATGCGACTCCAGCGCGTTAATGACAATGTGTGTTGTGATAATTACACGACATCAGAGCTGCTGTTGTTGCTCAGCAGCTGCTTCTCGTCTGCTGCTGCTGTATCACGCTGCGTCACATAATGACATTCGCAGATTCCCCGCAGCATATTGCGAGGATAATGAGCCGCAGCTGTGACCATCATAAGCTCAGTGTGAATGAATGAAAGAGCCATCAGCCGACAGCCACGGTGTCTCTGCAGCTAATCAACCAATCAGGGCTGATGAGCTCCGCTTGGTACAGTCCTGCCGGGGCCATGAGACCTCATGTATCTGGAGCTCGTACAGGATCAGCAGCTGGACGCACGCTGAGGGATATTTTGCTCAAGTGTTGGTATTTATGTGTTCGTTTATGACTCCAAAAGACAAGATTCATTAATACACTTCAACCCACATAACACGTCTTAGGAAGCAGGGTTCTCACTCCTCTTCAGAAATAAGGATTTATTATGAATTAAACCAGGTTTTGTTGAGTTTTATTTTTGTGTCTGTCCACTTTGAATGAAGCTACGATGCTACGAGGTAATATTAGTGTTTTTCTCTATGGAGTCTGGTGGAGAGTGATATTACAGCCACTGAGTGAGTACAACGTAGATCATTTCCAGGATATTTGGTTCTTTTAATCAATTTCCAGGTGTTTCCATGACTGGAAAACTTGTCTCCAAATTTCCAGGTTTTTCAGGCTGCGTGCCTGGAAATGGTCCTAAGAATAAAAATGAGTTAAAGATGACGTCTAACAAAAAGACGGACTGACAACCTGAAGGCACACAGAGCGAGTTTAATCACAGTGTGCAGCGACTCACAGTGAGGGTCGCCAAAGCTTCACGGGGGTTTTTCGTGAGGGATTCTTGATTTTAAGACGTGGTAGAAATCTTTAAAAATATACACAGTAGGTTGATGTCTCAGCATTTGGTTCACCTGTGTGAAGTAAATTGTCTAATAGAATAATGGCCGAGCGTCAGGGAGGAGAAAACACTGAATTTAGTCTTTATGATTGTTAAAAACTATTAAAAGAAATACATAAAACAGACAGAGACTTGTATAAAAAGTTCCCTAAACAGGAAATAATCTGCTCAAAATTGATCCAAATCTCTGGTTTTACACAAACTTCCTGAGTTCACTGTTTGTGTTCATTGTGCAGTTTTAATATAATATGAAATATCTATAAAATATGTCACTGAGTCAGTTTAATACATGATTGAAAAAGGGTCCCTTAAGGAACTAGTGGTTTAATTCTACTCCACTACAATTATTTGACAGCTTAGATACTATATTAAAATAATTATTAAGATTTTTTTCTAAATAACATAAAAAAGTTGTGTGAAGCTGTAGACAGACAGAAAATTTAAAGGTTCCAGCTTCTCGAATGTGAGAATTAACTGATTATCTTTAATTGATTTAAATAATTTGAATGTATTTGTAATAATTTTGAGGTTTGGACAAACATTGTGATGGATTAATGAAGCAGCCTGTAAAGAAAGTGTGATGATATAATAATAACTGAGTGTCTTCCACACTGTGTTTGCTCTGTCGTATTGATTGTGTCCTCTGTGCTGCAATGAAGCCATCTGCTGGTGGCTCCGAACTGACTGAGGACACTGCTGCAGCTCTGGAATAATCTGGGATCTTAACACTTACTCATTTACATTTTAATGAATAAATGATGCTGTTCACAGTAAATCAAACAGCTCTGTAACATACCAGCCCTGGAAAATGGTTTTATTGTCCAGAAAAAGGACAGAAAAGTTCTGTTTACAGTCTGTTTTAATATCTTCCTCGTCAATGTCGCACTAGATGGTTCTTATTATATGTTGTTTTATCTGTTTCCTCCAGTTCAGTTAGTAATTTCCCACTAATTTCCTACTTTTTTAATATTTTTGATCCCTAATTTAATGTGTAGGTTGCTGCTGGATTAATAGTTTATTTCAACCAAAACAACATTTGGTGACTGTGGTTGAGTTTTATTTTGTTTCTGTCAAAACGACTGGTTTTGTTAATGGAGTCTGGTGGGCCTGAGATGCTGGTGCTCTAGTGCGACACCCAGTGGCAACTTAACTTTGTGTATATAACCTCTAATACAATTAAAATGTGTAATTATATTAAGTTAGCCAACAATACAGCCTGCTACTAAATTAGCTTTAAATGTTTATAATCTCTGGTTATTAAGTTAGTAACTCTTTAACAATCAATTAGTGAATTAAGTGTAAAAATATCAACAAATGGCCAAAACTTCATTACTTCAATGGACCCAAACACTAAAAACAATTAATTAAATGAGGAGATAACAGGAAGAAAACCAGACTAATCTTCACATTTTGAGAAGCTGGAGTAATTAATCCCTCTCATCAATCATTCAGCAGTGAGATCTTACCGATGGTCGGCCCCAAACCGAACTCGCTGATCATGGAGAATCCGTACAGCTGCAGGACAAAGACAAAGCACGACGGTCAAAACAGGATCAGAGTTCACGCGTCTGAATAAGTTATAGTTTATAAGTTTAAGAGGATAACTGGGTCTGATGAGTCTAGACTTTCAGTTACATCAGAAACTGTTAAAGATGGCATTAAATAAGAATGAAACTATTTATCAAATGCTCGGCTGTGTCTGAACTTCCTCCATCTTGATGCACTGACTTCAGCATTAGGGGCCGATCACACTTTTACCCTGCAGGAGAGACGCTCCGTGGTGCATTGTGGGATTTTATAGCCGGACTTTAAGCAGGAGACACACTTTTACTTCCTCTAACTGAGTGGAAATCTGATGGTCTCTCCTAGCAGAGGAGGTCGGACCGCCGTCTAGCCGACACGGTGGGAAATAAGTAAGAAATGTGAAGCCGAATTTACAAGAAGGTCCAAATAATAAAAAATCTGTCGTAGAGAATGTTTCACAAAGTTTATAAAGTTTCTCCTCACTCAGTAACTCCCAGAATTGTGCGATTTTTTAAGGGAGTCTGGTGATATTGTGGTAAGTAAGTGTTCACAAACATCTGCTGCTGATCTCAGCAGGTAAAAAGAGTCCAACAAGAGTCTTCCAGTCTACCTCTGCAAGTGGTTTAAGATAACAGATCACCAAAGAAGCAGGTTAGTAGCAGCTGTAAACAGGCTCTGTGTGATCAGCCCCCTTATATATCCATATTCATGTACCGCGGCATAGAGGTGGAGACTTACTGTGGGAGCAGCCAGCAGCAGCATGACTGCACAGGTGGTGGCTCTCTTCCCCAGTTTATCAGAGATCACACCTGCCAAGATCCCTCCTGTGCATTCACGGAGAGACGCAATGAGGCAGGGAAACAGCTTTCATATGAACCGTAACGCACAACACGAGGTAAAAGAAAACCTACCCACAATTCCTCCCACGTCAAACAGGGTGGAGAGATCTCCGGCTTTCTTGGCGTCGAGGTGAGCTGAGACACACAAACACACAATAATCGATTATTTCATCGTCTTTCTGGAGGTAATACAAGTGACGACACGCCGTACAGCGCGGCGATCACGCTGCAATACCCAGAATTCAACTCTTCACACTTCAGCTCCTTTCAGATGTGCACAACTTCCTGTGAGCTTTTATTTTGGTAGTGTCTGTCCTGGGTCCACTTTCTCTAATAAAACCTGTTTAATAAATCATGAAACACTGCAGTAACGTGCAGTAACGTTGTAGTTCTGTAACTGTTCACACCGTCCTGTTTCAGTCTCAGAGCTCTGTGGTCAGACAGGTAACAGTGAAGAACAGGAAAAGGTTGTAGTTGTCGTCTGGTCGCTCACCTGCTTTGGTGATGTAGAGCGGCAGCCAGAAGAGGAAGGTGTAGCTCACCAGTTTGGCAAACAGCAGACAGAGAGAGAACTCGATCACTCCCTGCACGGACAAACATAACAACGTTGTTTTAGAGACATTATAAAGCAAGTCCCAGGAGTTTTTCTTCACGATACAGGACAGAACTGGCTCACAAACAGTCCTATAATCTAACTGCAATCAGCTCATCCTACCAACAGTTTCAAATAAAATACAGCTTTATGTAGGTGAGTAAGGAGGTAAAATACAGTTAAATATTAAATTTCCAGGACGAGCGGGAACACTTTCATAATTCATATTTTTACGATAAGAATGATAATTATCTGCAGCTCCTCCTCTCAGCTTTACGGAGCCTTAAAGTGAGTTTCTGCCCTCGAGTCGGGCTAAAATAATCAGCTGCTGCAGGATTAAAGTGTCCACAGATTAGATCTGGTTCTCTGACTCTGGGGTGCTCGGAGGGATCAGAGGGATCAGATGGATCCTCTCTCGGGTGCTCCTCATTGGGGACGATTGGCTGGTGGCCCTGGAGTCTGGAGGAGCAGGAGCTTTATTTTAGTGCTTCATTCTTTGAGGAGGGAGGTCCTGTAGTCCGCTGCTTTGTTTCTTAGTTTAGTTATAAGTTTTATTGGAGATAAACATATATACGTAACTATATATAACTTAACTCACTCTTTACCTGCTTCCTCCCCAGCAACCCCTGATTTCTTATATTATCTCCTATAATCATTATTTAATGTCTTAATTAGTTTATTTTATAGTTTAGGTGAGGAAGCTGTGGGTCCTACGGCCTCCATCCTTCCCATAGTTTCTGTAATAACTAACTATCAGGAGTCTTCTTTATATGTTGCTGCTCACAACTGGTTTATTTTGTGGCTGTAACAACCTACAAGAATCAGCATTAGGTCCATGGTTGTAAATAGAAAAGCAGGCGTATGTAGTGGAGCGAACTACACCTTTTATATGGTTCTTCTGCACAGCTTTCTCTTTCTCTTCTTATCTTTATCTATTTATTTTTTGAAAGTACTTTATTTTTCTGTGTGATTTCTGTGTGATTTGAATAATTGTATATTTGTATATTTGTATTTGTATATGTATATATTTTTATGCACCAACTGCACCAGGTCACATTCCTCGTAGGCATAAAAACCTACTTGGCAATAAACAAATTCTGATTCTGATTCTGATTCTTCTGTGGAGCGTATTGTTATTTATTTTTGCTCTAGTTGCAAAGAAACATTCATAGCTGGAACTGTGTGTTTGCTTTATGTCAGCACATCTGATATTTTACACACACACACACACACACACACACACACACCAATAATAGCCTCATTTTACACATGATTCATGATGATAAAAGGTACAGAAATATAGAAATGAATGGCTGAAATGGCATATTGTCAGTAGGGAGAGCTGTGTGTGTTTATGTGTGACTGACTGGTATACGCAGGGCTCCCATGAAGCTGATGGGGGACGGCTCAGATTCCCTCTTCACCACCACGACCGGCTGCACGGGGACGCACACGCTTTCTCTCGGCAGCAGCAGCTCTGTGTCGTAGCTCTGGAGGAGAGAAAGGGAGGGAGAGAAAGGAGGAAGGTAAAGATCAGCAGCTGCAGGTGTTTTCATGCCTTAATGCAACCTCGTCCACCTGCTGCATTAACAATGAATCATTCACAGTACCCACCGAACACAACACCAAGACCTTTAATTCTGGGAAAACACCAGCACATACAGACTATCAATGCAAGCATTAATTAAGAATTGGAGTAGATTGGCAGGGTGTCGTATAGAGCAGTGGTTTCCAACCTGAGGGGGTCGCCAGAGCTTCACAGGGGAGCGAGGAAATGTTTAGATTATTATTTAAGATCTAAACTGAACACAAAGTGTATTCATAGAGGCTTCACTCTCTGATAAACAGCCTCATCCTGCTTTAGAAAACAACCAAAGAGCTGATCGAACAACGATAAGAAAACACTGAATCTGTCAGAAAAGAAGAATATTAAGTCTGTATGATTGTTAGAAATGATAAAAATACAGAATACAGACAGAGAATTGTGTAAAAAGTTCCTAAAAATATCAGGAAAACTCATAGAACTCTTTGGTTTTACACAAACTGTACTGAGTTCAAAATATCCCTAAAACACATCCTTACTCAGTTAGAGTAATAGAAAAGGCTCCCTGAAGGAAAAAGGTTGGAAACCACTGATGGTGACTGACAGGTACTGTGAAGTCTTAAAAGAACAATCAATGTGGTAAACCCAACCGTGATCATAATTTCAGAAAGAAACCCTAAAGGCTGAATCCAAATGTCTCGAATCCAATCATCCATCACGTGTGCAGCTCACAGACAGTTTGTGTTACTGATGAGCCACAAACAGACATTTGGATTCAGCCTGTGAATGATTTTTATCCCAAATAAATCTGCTGAAGCACTGGAGCAACTGACCTTCCTGTTTTGAACACTATCCTCATAATAGTAGCACGCCTGAATGGATCACAATCACATGTTAGAGTGCAACTCCCTCACTTCATTATTCACACCTGTGCAACCTAAATCTGTCCACACAGGGGCTGTTTGTTGGTTAGTTATGTTCAGATGTAGGTGGGTGGATGCATCAGCTTTATATTTTATATAAGTATAAGTCATTTTCCAGGACCTTTCCAGGACATTTTCCTGGAGTTTATCTTGACAAGACAGAACAACATCATGATCATTAATTAAGACTGTATGCATGTAGATATGAGAATTTTGCTATTACAGGACAACGTAGATTATTTCCAGGATATTTGGTCATTTTATTCCATGTCTAGGTGTTTCCATGAATGCAAACTAGAGTCTGCACATTTCCAGGTCTTCCAGGATGTGAGTTTGATCCCAGTGGGATTCTTCCAAGCTGACTGCAGTGACTTCTTTTTATTCTTTCTTATTGTAAGATTTTATTTTTTGCCAATTTTTTTTTCTTAAATTCAGCTCAATAAAGTGACCAAAATACTTATTTTAAGAAAGTCTATCTTAAATAAGTGAGGTTTCAACCCCAGGTGAGGGGGTGAGGGGCTAAGATATTAAAAAAATCCAGCACAACGTAGATTTTCGAGTATATTTGATCATTTTAATCAATTTCCAGGTGTTTCCATGACCGGAAAATTTGTCTCTACATCTCCAGGAAACCCTCTCTTTCTGTCCCCTTCTCACTGTTTCATGTTGCATCTGTAATCTCATGAATATTCAATGTTATAGTGGGAAAGAACTAATGTACAGTAACACCCACCGACCTGGGTTTTGTTGTCCTTGTACTGCAGATAAACCTCAGTGTGTCCGTTCATGCCGTTCCTCTTGTTGGGAACCTGCTTAAAAGACACAATAAATCACATTATTATTCACACCTGTCCCACTTCGTTCAAGGTATTAAAAGGATAAGAGAGACACACACACACACACACACACACACACACACACACACACACACACAGGTGGAGACTGTCACCATGGCTACTGCTTCCTTTACACTGTTCACTAATGGGAGACACGTGTGCATTTTATCTTACACCTACTGAAGAATGAACGAAAGTGTAAATAACTAAAGGAAAGTTAAGTTTTGTTTGTTCATTTTGTGAAAGTTTATTTTCCTGTTGTTGCTTTGGGCTGCTGAAGCATAATCAAACCACGAGGAACCTTCTGAATGAACCTTGTTGTGTAAATGTCCTGTGAGTAAAACACTCTGTGATACCTTCTGTTATTAACACGGTCTGAATACTGGATTCTGATTGGCTGCTGGGTGTCCATTACTCCCTGATGTAAAATATTGGTATTGATTTGGGGACAATGACACAGCTGATAGCTTCTAATGTTCTTGTTAAACATCCTGTCAAATTCTATTTACTGTTTGTTGACGTATGCAGTGTTATTGACTTTGAATCTTAGTGTAACGTTAGCTCTCTGGCTCTGATTCTGCCAGGTATTAGGAAGGACCTCAGGTGTTTCCAGGTAAATGGTGTCGTAGCTTGTAAAAAAAACTTTAGATTTTGATTGAAAAACAAATGTATAAAGTATATAATAATGAATGAACCAGATTCCCTGACTTTCTCTGTCTGGATCGGCTGTGGAAGATAAAGTCTAGAAGCCGTTTTAGACCTAAAAGTTTAATTATTTATGCACATTTCTTTTAAAAATCGAACAATATGACTCAAAGTGACTCATGGCAACAGCTACATGGTACCGTACTAACAATGGCCCTCTGTGGTGAAGCCCACACACTCCCCCTCTTGTTGGGAATATTGTGAAGGATGACTCATGCGACTATATCACTTATTCCACATCTCTGTGGACCAGAGTTTATATAGTTCCTGTAATGTTTATGCACCGCAAGCTGCTGTAATAACACCAGAATCAACTGATGCTCAGGATGTTACACAGCAGTGTTTTAATTGTACCACGCAGGATCTGCATTCATTGTGGTTCTCCACTCACTTATTGGGTTTTTTTTCCTTTTAATTTAATCTGTTTAACTCGTAATAATCCTATTTTATTCCACAACAATCCAGCAATGGGTGTGATTGGATGATTGGATTGTGTTATACATACAATAACACTAACATAAAACACAAGCACACAGAAGAATAAGCTCATTTAACTGGAAAAATGTTAATTACATAAAAGATTTAAAGTAAAACTAAAAAAACATTCTTAAATCAAGTAGTTTTAGTCATTTTAAGTGACACTGACTTCATTTTTATTTGTACTGTGAAAAGAAAATACACAGTAAACTTAATCAGGAATCTTTTTTAACTTACAAAATTGAGTTTTTATAACTTAAAATGTTCAATTTTCATCTATTTTTTAAAATAAAATAACTAACCACATTACAGTGAGAATACAGAGGTGAAAGGGAGCTTGTGTTCACATTTAATACAAAAAAATAAAGATAAAAAGAACTCACGCTCTTGCCGGGAGAACAGTTTGGAGCGTGTATGCTTTTCAGGTCGTTTGGATCTGGAGGGAAACAGATGCGATAAGGTTAATATGAACAGCTCACAACCATAACCGGCCAATGAGGAGGCAGCACTCACGCTCAATGAGGAAGAGGAAGCAGATGACGCCCATGGCGGCGATGATGAGCCCCGGGACGATGAAGGACAGGCCCCAGTTGGAGGAGACCCAGTATCCGGCGATCAGAGAGCCCAGGATGTTTCCCACTGAGGTGTGGGAGTTCCACAACCCCATGATGAGTCCACGTCTGACGGGAAGACACATCAGGGCGTTAACGAGTCCTCTCGACCTCCACGTGTTCCTGTGAGCTACGTCTTTATTCCTCTTTCATGTTTCAGCTGTTTTATTAGTTTCAATGGTCACACCTCCACTATATTTAATGTTTACGTTCTCGTGATTCACTAAAATGAGAGTGAACACTTCTTTTTCACTCTTGTTCAGCAAAGATGAGAAATACTATCAGATTGATTATTTAAAGTCCACATAAATTGATAGCTAACTAATTAATCTTTCCTCTGTGTCGCTAAAAGTTGAAAATTGATTGACGGGTGAATGTCAGGATATTATTGGTTGAAATCAGTTAGTTCATTTTGATATAAAAATACAAAAGGCTGAGTTTTGTAAATTTTTGGTCCTAAATTGTTAAATAGGGGAACAATATAACTGAGGATATATATATATATCTTAAAGGGTAAAACTTATATTTTACATACATTTCCTAGTGCTGCAACTTCACATTAAAAGCATTTAACAGGCGAAACACGTCTGTCCTACAGAGGAAGAGGACGTTACCTTCCTTGGGACAATAATGGACATTTGACATAAAATATCATGAATATTATTTCTATTTTTCTGTCTATTTTTGAATTTTCTTCACTTTCTTATTAGGATTTTACAAAATGTGAAAAGCCTTTACACAAACAGAAACACAAGTTGACTTTTATTTTGTAGTAAGCTAGTCAGGGAGTGATAGAAGAAGAAGGAGCAATAGTTTGTTTTAACCAGGTACCAATACCAGTAACTGTTCCTTAACTGTGATCTCAGTATTGATCCAAATAATCCTGATTAGAGCAACTTCTTTCCTAAATAACGACGGTTTAATACTGAGAAATGTTTCCCCGACACCGACACTGAAAGGCTTTTAAAGGGTTAGTTTGGGCTTTGTTTATGTGAGGTTGGATCTTTACCTTCCTTTTCCAAACCAGTTGCTGATGCAGGTCACTACACTGGGCCAGCCAGTGGTTTGCACCAACCCATTGGCCACCTGAGAGGATGAACGAGGACAGGATTACAGACACATGTGCAGGTAAACACGTACATAAACATCCCTCTGTGGTTATTTGGGTCTCACCTGGACAAATATATAGAAGCCCAGGCTGTGGATGTTGTAGACGTAACCCAGCCCGAACAGGCAGGTGAACAGGCCGCTGGTCAGCATGCCCACCGTGAGGTACAGCCGGATGGGCAGGCGCTCCCCGATGATGCCGCTGCGTGGGCGCACAGTGAGGACGTCACATTAACCACAGACACTCATCGTTAAGGCTCACAAGCTTCACCGAGGAGATTAAGTTTCAGTTCTGTTTGTTTGTCTCTTAAGCTGTATCCACTGGGGACTAGAACTATCTGGAGATTTATAGTAATTTATTATAATTGCAGAGGTTGTTTGTGATCTTTATCCTGTGCCGTATCAATGCCACGTCACATTTTTCCGCTCTCTGAACTGACTACAGTTTTCCTCTGACAGTACCATCAATTTGGCCACAGCGCAACTGAAATACAATATAAATTCTCCAGGATAACACAAGTTATTTCCAGAATATTTGGTAATTTTAATCATTTTCCAGAAGTTTCCATGACTAAAAACAGTAGTCTCTAAATTTCCAGGTTTTCCAGGAAACCCTGTATGAAGTATGTATATATATATAAAGTGGTATTTTAATGTTTGAGAGTGGTGCTTATTGTGGAGTGGCAGGTGGAAAGAGAGAAGGTGCTGCACATTACAAGACAAAACAAAATTGAATACCTTATAAAGAAAAAGTTTTAATATGTTTAAATGTTTACTACTATTAAGACTAACTGCAGTGAATTAAAGGTTTATTTCTAGTTTGAAGACATATTAAAGGAAAGGATCAGGCTCAGGTTTGAGCTCAATACAGCCGATGAGTTAAAACACTATCAGCTATTTATTTGACCAATTTAATGATCTGCCTCCAAGGAAAAGAAACAGCTATAGAGCCAGAATATTTACACATGGTGATTGTTGGAACAGTGGAAGGACTCATAAACAGGTTTGGTGAGTTTTATTAAGTTTCTGTTGAGTTTAAATGAAGTGTGGTTAAAGATTGTTTAACAAGGTTTCAGTTCAGTAAAAGAGAGAAACTTGAATTTGGTTGTATTTTTTTTTGTTTTAAGATGAAAACACGTGTTTTTCTTTTCCTTTCTTGACATTCGGTGAGTTCATTTTCTCTATTAAAGCTGTTACTGGTGTTCAGGTTGCTTCTTCCATCTGATTGTATTAAATACCTGCAGCATCTCCACAGCAGCAGGAAGCCATCTCTTACCTGAGGTACATTCCCACAGCATAGGCACAGAGGAAGGAGTAGTCCATAGCTCCTAGCAGCTGCTTGTAGTTCCTTTTATCTGAGAATATAAAGAAGAGTCATACACAGAGAGAGAGAGAGAGAGAGAGAGAGGTTTAGTTCATCCTGACATGAGTTTATTTGTCTTTATGTTCATGTTCTTCATGTACTAAAGTATAAAATATCCAGAGTGGATACAGACCGAAAGGCTTCCAGCTACAGTCCATGTCTGCATGGAGAGACGGCGGGGAGGGCTGCTGGCTGCCGCCGCCGCTGGAGGCGATGGTGGCGAGCTCACTGAGGGATGTGCAGTTCTTATGGAGCTCGCTCTGTCAATAAAAAACAACGAGGGAAAGATGTAAATATCCATCTATACCTCCTGAGGCAAGAACACGTGAAACTTGTTAATGATATATTACGTTACAGACAAAGTCTTTTACATTAAATGTTAAATTCAAGCTCTTGCCAGATCACACAGCTCTGATTCAGCCCATCAGTGCCAGCTGGATCTCTGTATACAGAGTTTACACCAATATTAACGCGTTACACATCAACCAGCAATGCCTCCGAGGCCCGGTCCGTCCTGCCAGTTATCGATTAGCTTGTCAACCCCTGTATGGTCTAAGATTATTCTCCAACTGCATCCTGTGCAGACACCATCAAATTCATTCAAAACATTTATCTGAGAGCAAATGTCACATAAATAAAAGTAGTGAACACAAACCAGAATCTGGAGAATCCAACCTCCACCTGATACGTCTGTTTCAACAAACTTCTCTCTTTTTAAAGCTAATTCTGACATTCTGGAAGAAGGAGGAAGTTCCTACTTTTAATCTGTGGCTCAATGAAACGAACAATAAGGTTCTCTCTGAAGAATAAACACAATCTGATCTGGCTGCTACCTGAGACAGTGACCTGAACCGAAGCCGACACCAAGAACTTACCACTCTGATATATGTAGTAACCATTCATTCATTTAACATGTACGTAAAAAGACAGATAAACAATATGAATAAAGGATAAAACCACATCAGTGCTAGTGATGAATGTCCTGTAAAGTATTTAAGAATATAAACCACTACCATCTGACATCCCGGGTCACATGACTCTGCAGCAGCAGTTTTTATTGGCTCCTGCGGTGGAAGCAGCGATTGAAATGCTAATGTTCCAGCGCTTGCACTCGCTAAAGTTCTACACATTTATGTATATTTATTAGTTTTTATGGGAACACTGTGCAACAACACTAGTACTCTCTGCACTACATTCCCCTTTGCTGCTGTGTCTGATTTGAGTTTCTCCTACGGGGGATCAATAAAGGAACATCTTATCTTATCTTAGTGAAGAGGAAATAAGGTTGTTGACACAGCCCTGTGGAGGTAGCTCTGAGTGTGTGAGAGTAGTTTTATACTCTTTATTAACCCCGTTTGCCTGCAGGACAGATCGGAAATAAAACTGAAAGGAACAACTCGTCTACAGGCAGCGGGGAAGGAGTCAGTCGGCTGTTTTTAAAACAGAAATATAGGTGCATATAGGCGCTAATTTTGGTGTAAACGGCGTATATGTAACACAACAAATCTCACAAAAACAAACTTTTTATGGCCATGAAGTGTGACTGTAGCAGACTGTGTGTGAACTGTTTTTTACTCTTATTTTGGAAGGTTTCCACTAATTTCCTTGCACTGAACACATTGAACACACTGTTCCTTATTAAGGTTTACTGGTGTTGTCTGTGTGATACAGATCTTAGAACCAGTAAGTTCACACAAACAGGTTCATTCCTGGGACAAAGCTTTTTATTTTCAATGGAAATCTGAACTGCTTTGAGCCCGGCTGGGAAACTCTGGGTGTGTCCGAAGGTCACCTCTCTGCTCATGTTTATGTGTTAAAGTGCCAAATGGGGACAATAAATTTTGAATTGGGTCGAGTTCTGAGTGAGAGTTATATCATAAAGCTTGGGCACTGCCAGAATACTGACCGGCTCGGTTGGTTACGTTTCCTGTACCTGATCTGCAGGTCTCAAATAAACACAAGAGATCTTCCACAATCAGCTAAATATTCGACCATGACATTGAAAATCTTTCACATAACAGTTAAGCTACGCTGTCTGTACTCCAATACAACAAACTCTCTGTTGACTTCCAGCAACAAGTCACCTCAGCTCTCTCGAGATTTCAGAACGAAGGTGCAGAAAACGCTGTTATGTCGTGTTGACAGACGTCAATCAGTGGCAAAAACAAGATTATTTATTCGTTTATTGGACGTATTTTGACGGTGCAAGGATTAAGTTGCAGTCACTTTTGCAACTGCAGTCTGCAGCGCTCTCACTCCAGATTCAAAACTTACTCACTTCTGACACAAAAACATAAAAAAATAAGATCCAGTTTGAAAAATACTAACAATACTTTAGTGTATGCAGATGCACGTGAGCTCTTTGACGTGGTTTCTAATACAAAAGTGAGCCTATGGTTACCTTGACGATGCTGATGGGTTTCCTGGAGAGGTGGAAGCTGGTGTAGAGCAAGAAGGTGAGGATGAAGGTGAGAGCTCTGTACCTGCAGAGAGGAAACACAAGAGGGCAGCACTGAGACCTGAAGGACCAGAGAACAACCACCACCACCCCCCCCACCACCCCGAACCACTGAACCTCTGAACCGAATCAAACCAGCATGTTGAGTTTGAGGGAGTGACGGGGGCACAGCTCACATGCACACTTGACAAACATTACTCCACAGCAGGCAGAGGGAGCAAGTGGTATTTAAGGGATGTTTGTGTAACACTGACAGACATATTAAGCCTTACCCGGTTCCTTTACATAATGAGCAAATACATTAAACCTACATAATGAGCGGCCAGAATGAGTGTGACGCACTCCAACACTGATTCGACATCCCACATCTGGCTGACTGCGATTACAACACACGTCAGACAACTTGTGAAATGTTCAGGCACACAATGAGCCACGTAAAGGTGTGGCTGACATATGACCTGTGATTCTGGAGAAAGGCTCCTCGTAAAAGACTACATTACAAAGACACACATTAAGCAGTAAAGACAGAGAGACAGCCACAGAAAACACATCACACACGGCAAAAAGAAAGTAAAGAAGTCTTGTTTCTGGAAAATTTGTCTTATTTTTTGTCTAAAAAGAAAAATAATCTTCTTAAACATGAGCTGCATTAGACAAGTAATCTTATTTTAAGAAAATACTTTGTCTTAATAAGATGTTACAGCTAATATTGAGCTCGATTTAAGAAGTTACAACACTGGTTTTCATAATATCCCAGCAGAGGAACAAATGTAAATATAATAGTCTAAATAAAAAAATTGAAATATAAAAATGTTTCTGTTTCCTTCATTTAAGACAAAGTCACTTATTTTTATTCTGCTGTTTCAAGAAATTGTGTCTTATTGTAAGATTTAGGTACAAATTCTTAAATTCAGCTCAATAAAGTGACCAAAATACTTATTTTGAGAGTCTTAAATAACAGATTAATGGCATTTGTTCCAGTTTTAAGGCCAATTTCTGTCTTTAAGTGGCTGATTTTTATGCTGGTTTTAGGAATTGTAGCTAAGAAAAATTGTCTTATTCCCCAGGCATTAATTGTTTTAACACAACACAAGAGAATTGGATTATATTTAAGAATATCTGGCTTGTTACTGCAGTACGTGTATCATAAAACAAAGGTGACAAAGCTATCTGCACTCCTGACAAAGCCAAACATTCATCTTTGTCAGCATTACGCCCTTCTACTGTTTCAAAACACACAGGATATCCTGCAATATGAATGTGTGCTTTTAATTTGAATTTTTACTGTTTGCTTTATCTCTCCGTCGTGTTTGCACTCATCTTTGTGCTTTTCCATTGAGTCAGTGTTCAGATTTGATCAGCGCTGATATGAAACACATGAGTCTGGCTGTGAAATGAACTTAGGTTTGTTTGCCATCCTGTGTGTGTGTGTGTGTGTGTGTATGTGTGTGGTCAGCGGTAACGAGGAGCTGGACGGTAATCATCAGCAGTCGAAGGCTGAGCCAGAAGTCTTCCTCTCATCATCAGACGTTAGGTTGGTTCTTCAGGCTCAGCGGCGATGCTGGAGACGGACCAAAGAGCGGCTTTTGAAGAAGTGGACACACTCTGACGCAACATCTGGACGGCGTGCTGTGAGCCTGTTCCAGGACGGCAGGCTGACAAAAAAACAACAGCTGGCAAGACTTCGCTTTAACCCCCAGCTGTCAGCGACACACTGGGAGCTGAAGCTGCACATGAAGTGAAAAACACTCTTTCATGGCTGTTTTACTGAAGAGTGTTAAGTAGTGGGCCGAAGTCTGTTCGCGCTCCATCATGTGATATTCTTTGAGAAGGTGGTGAAACAGTTTAAAGTCTAAAATCTAAAGCGTAATGCAGCAGTGCCCAACCTGAGGGTCGCCAAAGCCTTCTTGATTTTAAGGGGTGCTAGAAAACTTAAAAAACATCCACAGTAGGTCTACATCTCAGCGTTTGGTTAACTTCTAAGAAGAAAAGTAAATGTAAAGAAAATTAAATTGTTTAATAGAACAATGGCCAAACGTCAGGGAGAAGAAAACACTAAATTTGTTAAAAAAGAAGCTGATTAAGTCTGTATGATTGTGTTAATCAAATAAAATACAGAATACAGACAAAGAATTGTATAAAAAGTTCCTTAAACAGGAAATAATCTGCTCATAATTCTTCCAAATCTCCTGTTTTACACAAACTTCCTGGATCATCGTACAGTTCTAAATATAATATGAAATATCCATAAAATAAATAACTTAAACAGGTCGTCTGTTTACTGAATGATAGAAAGAGGGTCTCTTCTGGCATAATAAAACAACGTGTCAGTAGCTAAGATATTATATTAAGATGTATATTAGATTGTAATGTGCATGGAATAATGAAAATACACTCCACAAACCGATGGGTTTAATTTGGAGTAATGTTACAGACTTTGCTTTAGGCTTTAATCTTTTTTACATCATTTGTTTCCCTGGTGGATTTTTTCTGTTTTTTTTCACAGACATTTATTTAATTTCCTTATTTTTACGATGTTTTACATTTCTATTGTTTTTATTGTGTTAATTTTTTTGCACAATTTTATGGTTGATCATTTTGTTGTTTCAATGTGTTCTGTGAAGCACTTTGAGCTGCATGTTTGTATGACAGTTGCTGAGCTGATATAAAGACTTCACTGACTGTGGGACAGTAGAAACGTTACAGATAAAAACAGCACAAACATCCAGTCAAACACATATTTGTGTAAACACAGAAAAGACGTCGGTCCACTGTAACGTTCATATAGTTTCACAATGCGTTGCCATGAGATCTCCGCTGTGTTCACTGCTCTTTGATCTCTACGGCAATAAAACCTGGTTAGTTAGCAGCACTGTGACGCAACACTACCGGCCTCCCTGCGCCTCCTCCCCTTGCTCTGCAGAGGGACACATCAGGGCTCCTGCAGGCTTCAACAAGTCCAATTTAAAAGTCCTATTTTACATCCATACTGGCATAAAAAGTACAAAAGATATGAAGTAAAATTAGTATTGATTCCACGTCTGACTCGATTTGTAGTCAGATCAATACAAACTCCTCCCCAAAACATATTTAATTACGGTTTCTCAGAGGTTTTTGGGAAGAAGAGACACACTCCTAGCTGTTCCTGGAGCAACTACTTCATTATCTTTTGTCAATAAGTATGAAAAATGGCTGTTTTGATCGTAAAAGGCAAAAAAGTGAATTTTGCTAGTGTGGAGATTTTGGGATCCTGAAAAAATAATAACAGTTTTAAGGATTATAACAGTGGCATTTGTTATTACTTGTGTTTGTGCTGTGTTCCTCTTTTTTTTGGTCTTTTTTTGTCTCAACATATATTTTAAGAAAACATATTCAAAAGTGACACTGCAAAACAAAACTGTACACAAGTTACGATAACTTCATTGTTATTATGCGTTCTGCATCCATTTAAAATTAAAAGTCCTCTAGCGATTCCTCAATAAGGCTTTTATTGTGAAATATTTGCAGGAACGTGAGTTGGAAAACTTGTGTTTTCGTTAAAATGAGACGTTTTTATCTACATGTAGTCCGTCATGTTTGCACTACATTTCCCTGCACTGCTGTGAATTTGAATTGATCAATAAAGGAACATCTTACAGCTTAACATACACAAGTCTTCCTAACAAATAAATAAATAAATAAACACATTTCCTTTATATACACAGACACACACACACACACAGCAGCATGAATTGGAAATAAAGTTGAAAAACAGGAAATTTAACACTGAAACTGAAGAAAAAGAGAGTCAAACTGGAGAGAAACCTGAAACTACACATACTAGTACAGCTTCAGCAGGAAAAAGAAGACCTTCTGAACAAATGGTGGAAGAACAAGAAGCTTTTGGATGAAATACAGTAGAAATAAGATCTGAAAAATCTGAGCCCAGCTCGTATCTCGCGGTACACGGATGGTTTCCCAAGCATGCGCTCTTAATCCACAGAAGCATCCTGCACATAAAGCCGCTATTCACCATCCCCGATGTGGCCCGAGTGCTCTGCTCTTTGACACAAGCTCTCATGTCTTTAATGGATACTGTATATGCTCCGGGAGGGTTACATATAGTGGAGCTTTGTCGCGCACTGGGAGAGCTGAAATTCACCCTCTGGATACAAGCTGAGCAGGTTTTTTAATGTTTTATTAACCGGTTGTATGAAGGCGGCTGAGGACATGAGCTGGCTTTAGAAACAGCACCAGGTTTTGGTCTTTTATCTCTCGATGTAACTCGCTCTAACAGACTGAGGCTGAATAATAAAACATAGGAGAATTCCCAGCTAGTTCAGACAAATCCCAGTAATAACAGGGATGTTAACTGTGTGATAGCTGGGACGTCTTTTCACTTGTGATTCCACTTCTCGTCCAAAATGCTGCTCTTATTAAAAGATTAAAAGATCGGTTAAAAATTTTCCAAATTTTGGAGGTCCAGTGTTTAACATTTAAGAGGATCTATTGTCAGAAATGTAATATAATATTAATATGTATGTTTTCATTAGTGTATAATCACCTGAAAATAAGAATCGTTGTGTATTACATGTTTGTTATTATGTGTTCTGCATCATTTTAAATTCCTTAACAAGTCTTTTATTGTGAAATATTTGCAGAAAAATTAGACATTTTTATATACGGAGGGAGAAGGTCCTCTTCTCTTCTAAAACCAAACATTAGGCTTGTTCAAATGAGCCAAACTGAATCGAATTAAGAAATGAATGTTAATTAAACATAAACGCATTTGTTTGGGACTATTTTCAGTGGCGGACTAATCCAGATTTGGTACTCTGGATGGTTTGTTCTGTTTATTGTGTAATAATATGTAATAACTTTATTTTAATTATTTTAATTTGCTGCCTTCAGTGGACTTTTTTTGTAACTTGTGCTCAATAAATAAAGATTATTATTATTATGTGAAAATTAAACCACATTATAATCACTATCTTGTTGCTGTTTACATTCACACAAATACAATAATGTAGAATTATCTCCTGGGTGTATACGTGTCTGTATAATGTGTATTCATTGCTTTATTTTATATATTTAATATAATTTAATTATCTTTATCTCTGCGTGTGCAGCATGAAGGAACAGCAAACTTTCATTTCGTTGTACATCCGTGTGTTACATGAAGATAAACACACTTCCCTGATATTACACCATTATTATTATGTCACCCAGAGCAATATTGTGGCTTAAGCCTTCATCAGTGATTTACTCTCAACTGTACTGACGAGCTAAGTGCAGAACTTCCAGTGCGACAGGGTGTGTTCGCTCAGCTCAAAGCCATCCAAAGAATGTAGTATGTCCTGTCCTTCACAAATTAAAACTCATACCAACGATTAAAAAAATCAAACATTCAGACTCACCACTGGTCCCTGTCGAAGGACACCAGCAGGCGGATCCCTGGAGGAACGGAGGCCATGTTTGGATGCAAATATTGACGATCTACAGCGACGCTTGGCTGACGTGAGTTCTTATGAGGTGGAGGTGGTCGAGGACGTGGCGGCGCTGCCTCGGCTCATCTCGGTCTCAGAGGAAGCTGCTTGGAGAGGACACATGTCTCACACTGGGAGCACTGGAGCTGGTCGGGGGGGGGGGGGGCTATCTGAGAGGATGACGAGAGAAAAAGGTCAAAATTAGCACAAAGCAGCAGGTTTAACATTTTGTTTGTACTGTTGAGCTTCACCGTGTCACTCTCCAGCAGACATTATAGGTCAGAAACTAGAGATCTTCACCTGTTTTGGTCCATAAAAGAGCAGAAAGACAAACTACGACTAACAACGTTGGATCTACTGATTATAGTTAATCATTAAAGTTAAAATATGTGACCAATCAGCATCATAATGAAGTGCTGTAGTTCTGCAGAGATTCCCCAGCCTACAAGTCTCCAGATTTAAGAAAAACATGTTGTTCGGTACAGAAACCCCCGAACAAATGTCACATATTCAGGATTAGTCAATACTAGAGCTGCACTGTATGTCAAAAACATCATATTGTGATTATTTTGACAGATTTTGCCTCATGATTCATGATTAGTGTCAGTTTTGCTTCATAAATTTCACAGATTAAATCTTGATTAAACAATCTTAACAAGATTTAAAGGCCGGTGAATCTCTGGAGCACTACAGTACTTTATTATAACGCTGTTTATCTACAGTAGGTCAGTTTGGCTCTCAGCTCCGACAGGCTTCAATAGAGCTGGCACCAAACTCCTTTATGATGTAATTGCCCTTCCTTCTGTTTCAGTTTCCTCAGTTTTACCCCTGAGGTTTCATCTCACCCTCACCAGACCAGCGGCTCCTTTACCCGTCTCAGTTTCTGGTTCCCGGAAATAAAAACCTAACGCAACCGAGATTTAGACTTTAAATAAGGGCTGCACAGTTAATCGCGATATTACCGAGATCACGATGTGTGTCCGATAAGCAAATCACAGCAAGCTGCAATTTTTTGATAAAGAAAAAAAAGCTTCTCTAAGTCTTTATAATGATAAACTTTTGACTTAGTATCAGAAAGTCATTGTTTTTAGATATTAAATCAACATTTTGAGATAGTTTTCTAATTATAATTATATTAAATTCTCATTATAACTGGCAGGAATGAGCGTCCATATGATTATAATTAAATACTGTAGTTCTGCAGAGATTCTCTCAGCCTGCAAATCTTATAAACATCTGTAAGAAAACATTAGTGTTTTGTTTTGTTTGTTTGTTAGAGACCCCAACAACAACAATAACAACAATAAAAACAACAACAGCACAATTTTAACAAAAAAAAGAAAAGGATCATTCCCACTCATCTTAAATCACACTTTTCCAAACATAAGCACAAACACGAAGCATGCCTCGCAGCCATACTTTAAACCCTTTGTGTGTTTGCAGAGAGAAACTTCACACACTATCTGAGGCGAGCTACTGCACACACTATCTATGTACCAATAATCACAACGTGTGGGATCGATAATGTTTTAAAGAAAAGAAAAGGAGGTGAGTTAGCAGCAGAACAGCAGTCGTATCTGGAAACAATGCGGAGGAGGAATCGCAGGCTAACGCCGAGCTTCCTCCTCCGGTTAACGACAGCTAGCTAAACCGCACCGCGGCTGGTGATCAGTCGCCCGGCCGACGGTGGCTCTCTCCTACCCGGGCACAAAGGCACCACATCCCGCCGCCTCTCCTCCACTAACACCGCTGCGTACAGCCGCTTACCTCGTCCCGGGAACGGCCGACTGGGGTTGGAAACGTCGGTTTGTGCCGTCAGTTGAGACACATATTAATGTTTCCTCCACTTCCTCGTATAGAGAGAGAGAGAGAGAGAGAGAGAGAGAGCGACTGTCACCTCACACACACACACACACACACACACACACACACACACACATTCCGATTTATGTGCGCTGAGAGGACGCAGCTGCCCTAACAGGGTTTGTGCTGTCTTAGAGGGACACCCCTTTCCACTCGCTTCACAGAGACGTAGTGAATATAAAAAAAGTCTTGTTTGAGCCATACGACACAAATTTCACTTCGGATATTGAATACACACAACTCAAAATCTGACAACCTGACAACATGCGGAATTAGGAGGACAGTAGATAATAGATAGATAAACTTAGCACAAAAAGTAAGGGAATTTGTGTTTGGTAGATTATTTCTCTGTGGTAACAATGCTTTTTGGCAATAAATCTTATACTGTTGGAAAGCCTGTTTAGTTCCCTTTCAAATGGTGCCCCATTTGAAAAGAACATGCATTTGTGGGATGAGCAGCAGCGCTAAGTATGTGGGTTGCGCCCATGAAAAATTTGCCAAATCTTTTCTGCCAATGCCAAACAGGTTATTTTGCTGTTGCTATTGACACTTGTTTTGAGCTTCTGGTACCCCCAGGTGCTGCCAATCACTCGCTATGCTGATTGCTGCACCGATAGAATAACATCTTTTGGTGGAGGCAGTGTGATGGTGTGGGGCGGCATCTCCCTCACTGGAAAAATGAGGCTTGTCATCATTGGAAGCAATCTCAATGCAGAGAGATGACATTCTGCAACCAGTGGCAATCCCATATCTCCACACTCTGGGACCGAACTCTATCCTCCAAGATCACAACGCTCGCCCCCACAGGGCGGGGTTTATCAGAGACTACCTCCAGAATGTGAGTGGAGAGGATGGAATGGCCTGCCAGCAGTCCTGACCTCAACCCCACTGAACACTTGTGGGATCAGCTTGGGCGTGCTGTTCGTGCCAGAGTGACCAACACAACCACGTTGGCTGACTTGCGACAGATGCTGGTTGAAGAATGGGATGCCATCCCACAGCAGTGTGTGACCAGGCTGGTGACCAGCATGAGGAGGAGGTGCCAGGCTGTTGTGGCTGTGTATGGTTCTTCCACACGCTACTGAGGCTCCTGTTTGTGAAATGAATAAATTGTTAAATTGCCAATATGTCTTGTTTCTTCAAACTTCAATCATCCAATCCACCAAACACCAAACGAGTCAATGGCAGAATAACCTGTTTGGCATTGGCAGAGAAGATTTGGCAATTTTTTCATGGGCGCAACCCACATACTCAGCTCTGCTGCTCATCCCACAAGTGCATGTTCCTTACAAATGGGGCACCATTTGTAAGGGAACTAAACAGGCTTTCCAACGGTATAAGATTTATTGCCAAAAAGCATTGTTACCACAGAGAAATAAACTACCAAACACAAATTTCCTTACTTTTGTGCTAAGTTTAGATAGATAGAAAGAAAGATAGATAGATAGAAAGATAGATAGATAGATAGAAAGAAAGATAGATAGATAGATAGATAGATAGATAGATAGATAGATAGATAGATAGATAGATAGATAGATAGATCCCCAAAGGGAAATTGGGTCGTCATAGCAGCCAGGTACATTTAAATACAATACAATAAAATACAACAATAGAATAAAATACTTAGGTAGAAAAGATAAAAAAGTATAGGTATATAAGGTGCAAAGAAGTTGTAGTTGCAAGATGGTGGTAATAGTAGTGATGATATGATGGTAGTGTTATTTTTAATAACAGTATATAATAATAAAAATGATAATGATAATAATATAATAATAATGATAATATGTATATACAATATGTACACACGAGATATGATATGATATATAGCATATGTATAATAGATACTTGACTATACAAGAAAGATATACGTACAATAAATAATATATTATATATTGTAATATAATAATAATAATTATTATTATTAAAATAATAATTATTAGGAAACTCCTGAATCTTTAGCCTGAACTGATGGTCACAGTGAAATAAGAACCAGATCCTCTTCCACTGAACCCAGCTGAATCTCCAAAACTCAATGAATCAGTACTTTAGGAGCTTCTCCAGGTTTCTGAAGGTGCCATTGACAGTATATACAATGGACAGAGCTCCCTGGATAACCCTAATGGTGTGATTTAGGACTCCCCTGAAGTCGACACAAAAGCGGGGAGTGCCATCCTTCACAGGAGTCTCAACCAGTCAGGAGGTGCAAGCAGAACGAGATACTTCTATGAAGCTGTTGCTGAGCAATGTCTAAATTTGTTGTTCAACTGAATTTGTAAGAAAAGCACCCTATACATTTTGACTAGCTTAGTTGCATTTCTCTCTGTGGCGCAATCGGCCAGCGCGCTCGGCTGTTAACCGAGAGGATGGTGGGTCGAGCCCACCCAGGGACGTTCAAAAAATTGGTCCTCCTCTGAAGAACAACCTTTAGGCATTGTCTATCAATCTTGGTAATATACTAGTTGGTGCTACCATGTCCAATTTCACCTCCCTTAGACCCTTGAAGCTCAAGCCACGTTCTGCCTTGTGTTTCCACAGGCCTCAAATGTGCTTGCTTTTCTGCTCCATATCTCTTCCTAGATCCCGAAAATGAGTCGGTTTTGTTTGTTGTGTCACGTTGCTCTGGCAAAACCTGGCGCCGTGGCTTAGTTGGTTAAAGTGCCTGTCTAGTAAACAGGAGATCCTGGGTTCGAATCCCAGCGGTGCCTGCTTTAGTTCTTTGAAACACCCTGCTGACAGTGGTGAACTCCTAAATCTTTAGCCTGAACTCCACTAATGGTCAGAACCAGATCCTCTTCCACTGAAGTGAGCTGTAGTCAAATAAATCAGGAGTTTAGCAGCTTGAAGTAGGAAACTCCTGAATCTTTAGCCTGAACTGATGGTCACAGTGAAGTCAGAACCAGATCCTCTTCCACTGAACCCAGCTGGAACTCCGAGGCTCAATAAATCAGGAGTTTAGGAGCTTCTCCAGGTTTCTGCAGGTGCCATTGACAGTATATACAATGGACAGAGCTCCCTGGATAACCCTAATGGTGTGATTTAGGACTCCCCTGAAGTCCACACAAAAGTGGAGAGTGCCATCCTTCTCAGGGGTCTCAACCAGTCAGGAGAGCAGAACTAGATGATTCTATGAAGCTGTTGCTGAGCAATGTCTAAATTTGTTGTTCAACCGACATTGTAAGAAAAGCACACTATACATTTTGACGGGTTCAGCTGAATTTGTCTCTGTGGCGCAATCGGCCAGCGCGCTCGGCTGTTAACCGAGAGGATGGTGGTTCGAGCCCACCCAGGGACGCTCATAAATTGTTCCTCTGAAGTACAGTTTTTAGGCATTGTCTATCAATAATATAGGTAATATACTAGTTGGTGCTACCTTGTCCAATTTCACCTCGCGTTAGACCCTTGAAGCTCAAGCCATGTTCTGCCTTGGGTTTCCACAGGCCTCAAATGTGCTTTTTTTTTTTTTTCTTCTGACGCACAACGCAGAGTACTAACCTCTATACGATCACGGCTGCTTGGTTTACTTAGTGCCTCCTTGTTGGACTGAGTGTCTCCACGTCGTGACAGCGCAGTGCGGAGAGGACAAACCCGGACTCGGGACAGAACTTTGGCGTGGAGCAACGCCTGGACATGCCAAAAAGAGGCTTGAGCCAGTCCTCGTTAGTATAGTGGACAGTATCTCCGCCTGTCACGCGGAAGACCGGGGTTCGATTCCCCGACGGGGAGTTTCCTTTTAGATCACCTGCTGATCTTTCGGCGACAAAAAGGAAAAAAACACAGCTGCGCTAAGCGTGGGCTTGCGTCAAGCTGAGGCTACGCTTACCTTAACTTTACTCCTTTTTGCGTGTGTCTGATATTTTGACTGAGTACACTTTGATTTTGATACTGAGTAGAGTTGGATTTTGATTCTGAGCACAGTTTGATATGTAAACGGTAGCAGGGGGAATGACACAAAAGAAGACCGGGTTCTAATTTCTGCCGTGACCCGGATTCGAACCGGGGTTGCTGCGGCCACAACGCAGAGTACTCACCTCTATACGATCACGGCTGCTTGGTTTGCTTAGTGCCTCCTTGTTGGACTGAGAGTCTCTTCACCTCCCTTAGACCCTTGAAGCTCAAGCCATGTTCTGCCTTGTGTTTCCACAGGCCTCAAATGTGCTTGTTTTTCTGCTCCATATCTCATCCTAGATCCCGAAAACGAGTCGGTTTTGTTACTTGTGTCACTGTGTTCCTGCCAAAACTGGCGCCGTGGCTTAGTTGGTTAAAGTGCCTGTCTTGTAAACAGGAGATCCTGGGTTCGAATCCCAGCGGTGCCTGATTTGAGTTCTTTGAAACACCCTGCTGACAGTAGTGAACTCCTGAATCTTTAGCCTGAACTGAGGGTCAGGGTGAAGTCAGAAGCAGGAGGGCTGAAACTGAAACGAGCTGAAACTCAGAGGCTCAACAGATAAGGAGTTTAGGAGCTTCTCCAGGTTTCTGAAGGTACCATTGGCAGTATCTACAATGGACAGAGCCTCCTTCTCCTCCTAGCTTGTGAAAAATAACACGCCCATTACAAACTGAGACTCATTGGCCCACTGGTGTTGCTTGTGGAAACTCAGTGGGGTCACAGTCTCAAACCATTGTATGTCAGGCATGACTGCTTGGGGCAATCAACAGCAGAAGTGGAAGTTTCTATGAAGTTGTTGCTGAGCAATGTCCTAATGTGTTGTTCAACAGACATTGTAAGAAAAGCACACTATAGATTTTGACGGCCATAGCGTTATGTGTCTCTGTGGCGCAATCGGCCAGCGCGCTCGGCTGTTAACCGAGAGGATGGTGGTTCGAGCCCACCCAGGGACGTTCAAAAAATTGGTCCTCCTCTGAAGAACAACCTTTAGGCATTGTCTATCAATCTTGGTAATATACTAGTTGGTGCTACCATGTCCAATTTCACCTCCCTTAGACCCTTGAAGCTCAAGCCACGTTCTGCCTTGTGTTTCCACAGGCCTCAAATGTTCTGCTCCATATCTCTTCCTAGATC